TCGCACGAGAGGGTCCCGGCCACTCGCAAGTCATGGGTGTGGTAGTAGTGGTTGGAGCTAGGTGAATGGATATGAAGTTGCACTGGTGCTGTGGTGGTGGTTTTTTTTTTTTTTTTAATTCTGTCCTATTGTAGTAAAATATAATTAACAAATAATTTTCTTAAAGTATACTTAGTACTGTCTTAGTCCTTAGGATATAACAAGAACGTCTTAAAATAGAATTTGAGATTACAAAACTAGCAAGAGAGAGAGAGAGCAGATTTGCGAGAGAGAAGAGAGAGAGTTTTGCCAAATGTATTTTTTTTCTTGAATAGAAACGATTATTTAAAATAATATAAAATGAAATGATTATTTAAAATAATATAAAAAGGACGTAAAAATTTACAAGAAGTCCATATATCTCGAGGGGGATAATCACTTAATTTTTACAAGTAACTTTGCTAAAATTTAAACAACCCATAAATCTGATGTGACATAATGTGACACTAGGGGTTGCTTATAAGCAACCCTCCATTGGATATGCTCTCATGTCACAAATATGTGTGTGCGTTTCCAAATCGTGTGTTTCCAAATCGTGTGGCCTGGAGTAGGGATGGCAACGGGACGGGTCGGGTACGGGTTTCATGATACCCGTCCCCGTCCCCGTGAGTTAAACTCATTCCCGTCCCCGTCCCCATACCTGTCAAGTATAGATTTTTATTCTCATTCCGGTCTCCGTCGGGTATCGGATATACCTGTACCCGTACCCGTTAATTTTTTTATTTTTTATTTTTTGTAAAAAAATGATATTTTTAAATTATTTTTTTATTATATTATAATTATAATTAGGTTATTTCTTTATCTCATATTATAATAAATAATCACACATAAAAAAATATTAATTTTTTTTAATATAATTAAATTGAAAGTAAATATTAAATTAAAAATGAGAACGGAGACACGTACAGGTACGGGGCGGGTAAGTACATATTCGTACCTGTACCCGTACCCGATTTAATATATCAAAGTTTCACTTGTACCCGTACCCGTACCCGATCAAACCGAGTATTCCCCGTCAAAGTCGGGACAGGTTCGGATATTACCTACGGTACGGGTATATTTGATATCCCTAACTTAGAGTTCTGATGTGAGACACCTCATCCACTGCTATCACATGAGATGAGATAGTGGTCCACATCAAAACTGAATTCTGCATCAAATTTTAATGCTACGTTATGTTGTGAACGAGATGAAAGGGCAACAAAGGAAACAAAAACATAGACTCACTTGACCCATGCACATGTGCGCAAGCTTCATCACTCTTGCGTGCCAATACATGTGAGACTTCTTCCTTTTGTAATCTTTATTATACAACATTTATCACTCAGGAGAGAGACAAGTTAGAGTCTGACATGATTTTGACTTTATTTTTAATTATTTATTTTATTTTTAATTTTAATGAGTTGTGTGTGCAAATGTGATATGTTATGTTTCGCATACAATAATTACTCTATTATCCATTTGCTTTAACTTCATTATTACCGCAATGACTTGACTTTTGTATTTTGAGATATTCTCTCTTTTATTTTGATTATCATTTCATAAAGTGTTAAATTATTTCTCTAAATATACCCCTGATTATTTGTTATTCAAAATGTCATTTTTATGAGACAGTTTTAATTGAATTACACAATTAATATAAATAATTTTATTAGTTAATTTTATTTGAATTAATTATAAAACATCATAATATATAAATTTTTCTTGCTTATCAATAAATTTTCATTTGATCATAGGTGATGATAATATCCCATATCAAAGTTTATGTATTAATATCAATAAAATTGATAAATGACAATTAGAGAGTTTGAGAAATGAGAGAGAAAATATTTATTTGTCAAATTTTCTTTTTGTAATAACCTAATAGATCATTATACTTGTTAAAACACAACGAATAAGCTGTAGAAAACATAAACATCGTCTAACTTGGGATTCTCGTACAAACAATTCCTAAATATTTATATAATAATATATAGGAGAGTAGAAAACTTAAAAGAGTCTATGCTTATATCAACTTGAAAACATAAAGTCCCTCACTAAGATTACAACAAGTTTTGTTCATATATATACAAGTTCTAGAAACTAAAAGCAATAAACCCTAAGTTGTAGTCAAGCAACAACTAACTGTATCAAAATAACCTCCATAAAAAACACACCATCTCCTATATGACACAACATCATGCTTGTCCTCTTGTCTAGTCCTGCTCTGTCCCCACAAAAATATAATCATCGCATTCCAATAACATGACAAAATGAGAGTATGTTTGTATGCAAAGAAAACATCATACAATATATAAAAGCTAACAACTAACTATAGAAACAACTTCATTTTAGTTATACAACTACAACTATAAGCTCAACTTACACAGAACAACAAAATAGTTAATTATGTAAGATTAATCATTTTACATCTCAACATACAACTTAACAACACGATATCTTCACAACATAACATTGTTATGTGTTGTCATGTATTACAACTAAGAGATCTTTTATATCATAGATGAACAATCTAAATAACTTGATCTTATTGATCAGCATTATATGACCTTTCATCTCTATGTCAATACAACACAATTTTTTTAATATCAATCCATTTTCACCACAACATGATTTTTTGGATTGCACCACTTAAATTAGAGAAGTTCAATACCATCATCACGTATAATATATCTTGGGTGTAGGTTCACTACGACATCAACATGCATCGATTAAATCACTAGTGAAATTAATCAACTAACTATCCTCTCAATACCTTTGACAAAATTCTAGCTTAGTTCCACACTACCATAACATGATTACAATGGTAAAATAAATGAGTTTGTTTTTTTTTTCTTCACAAAATGGACACAAAAGTCGACAATGAACTACCTTTAAAGCTAGACATTTCCTTATTGGGATACAACAATCACGATTCATTCTCCAAATTAAGATCTTCATTTTGTGAGGAACATTTAATTAAACTTTAGATTGAGTTTTATGGTCACCATCCTCACAATAATATGCATTATCAATCATATTCTCCATGTCATGCTAGTAAACAAATTTATCTAAATATATAATTCTCATCTCTAGTGAGCTTCCAAAGCAATTTATCCTTATCTTTTGGCATCATATATGACATTGACAATATGAATTGTTAATCATGGACATTAAATAGTTCTTGAATTAATTTTTTATGCCACATTCCAGAATCATGATCAAATAAAATGCCCCAACCTTCATTTACTCCAATCTAACTAGTGGCTTAAATTGAACGAAAGATGCTATTTGTCATGATTTTGTTGGTGTTTCTTTTGTTACTATAAGTAGTAGTTGCAAGATGACCAAGATAATAAATGATTCTAAGAGGTTAAGTTTTTTTTTTCTCTCTTTCATATTGAACCTTGTACATATTGTCTCAATCTCTACTACTAAAAAATTAAGTTTAATGTGTTTCTTACCTTATGCTTTTTATTTGGTTTATTAAAATGAAAATTACGACAAATATGAAATTTCGATTGGGAAAGGGGCTAGAAATTCTGTTGAGACATTTATAGAAATTTCTTAAGATTAATTTGTATATTTTTTTTATTACAACATCTTACATATAGAATTTTATACCCTACGTACTGCCGTACAAATAAAATGATTAACTAAGAACAGTGAAAAATATAAGGTAATTATTGAATTTAATGAAAATCAAAATATTTTACATATGTAGTTAACTAATAATTATAATTTTTATTAACTAAATATTATTTTAACCCTGAAAGAATAATTTTGAGAACACAAACTCCTATGTCCCTAGACAAGTTTTTCAACTACAAGAATTTTATGCATCTATTTAACTATCCTAATGAAAATAATATTGTTTAACTCCACCACATCGTGTGTGCATCAAGCAGCTGGTTGGTTGGTGTTTTGCTTGTTATTAAGGAAATCAAGCAACACAGTACTCTTGCATTTGGGGCATTTAGGGTTGGGATCATCCTTTGGAAACAAAACGTACATGAGGCATCGAAGACAACCTACGAGAAGCATCGCCTTTGTCTCTTTGTCAGCATCAGAAGATACGGATGAGTCTTGATCTGATGAATACAAACATAATGATGATGAAGTCGAAAATTCTGATAATGACGAGTTTCCAGTTTGTGGAGGGGACAACTTCAACTCAAATTCCAGCCCAGGGCTGTTTTCTCTTTTACTCATCTCTTCCTTAGTGGAATCCTGATCCCAATGACTATAAATACGATGTTAACAAATAACAACACAACAAGTATAAAGCACACAATTTTGTGCTTAAGATTAAAGTAGCAGAAGTTCCAGATTCACTTGCAATATTATAACTAAAATAAATTGGGATTAGCTGGTCAGAACTAACACACACCTTGTATATATTTGAAAAGAATCACAGCTAGATTTATGGGGTTTGAAACTTGTTGGAATGGTTGCAATTGGATGGTATATACATATATTTAAAGATTAGGGGTTTAAAATGGTGAAAACAGGCAATAGCAAGAAAGGGTTATTTTTGTTTTTGTTATGTTAAGCAAAGAGGATTCTTTTATAGAGGGTTTGAAGAGCAAGGCAAAACGATCTAGTCATGTAACGATGTATTTGATTGACTTTATTAAAGTTTAAATGTCAAAATACATTTAATTGCGGTTAGTGAAGCAGCCAACAATAAGATAGAAAATTAAACCAAGAAAGCTTGCAGGAATTGAACAACCACGATCATATATATGTGAACGCGATTGAATCCTGCTGCGATAGCTAACATTTCATTAATTGCAAAAGTTGCACGTTTATTCAGTTAGACATTTTGCATTTTATTTGTTCTGATTAACACGACACGCGTATTTGTTTTATTAAATTGAGAATAGACCAAAAAGTCTTCAAGCCGTATTTATTCATTTCATATTGAATGATGCAGAAATATTGAACCGCTTGGGCATGTATTGACTCATAAATGCTATATAGTCCAAACATACGTGTACATGATATTTTTGTTTGGTGAAACTGAAACCAATAGGATCCATGAAGAGCCAAATTTGACGATTCCCTATAGTTAAACAGTCGGAGAAGCTACAAATTGTTATCAAGTCATCAATATTTAAATTTGCTAGTACTTAATTTGGTTGAATAGTTATAGTATTATCACATCTTCAATCTTCACTGTGTCACACGCTATGATGGGGGTTTTGATGGAGTAAATGCTGCTGTAATATGATGTAATGTTTGGGATCTCATGTTACATATTGCACTTCTTATATTTCTTATTGATCTTGAATTCTAATGCCTATTATTATGTGGTTTGATGCCACAGATGGAAATTATTTAGTTCCATGTAATCACAATGACTGCATATTTTTAGTTGGTCTATTTATTTTAGTTTCGGAGTCTTGTAAAACTCAACATGTAACCAATTACACCATTATCATTTGTGCTGAGATTGGTATTTTTTCTAATTCAATAATATATTATTGCCTTTAAAAAATCATGCAAAAATCTTCAAGCCCCTTTTTCATATTAAATTAATGTTTCATTATCTATTAGTCCATAATTTTTATTTTTACGGCGAGTAAACCTTCCTTCCATGGGGTCGGTAATGTTCCGGGGGCGGAAAACTCGTACAACCGCTCTGCAGATAAACATAATGGTGTATTTTTTTTTTTTTTTATGGTGATGAAAACAAAATTCAAACTTAAAATTATATATATCTATATATATCAATGTGTATTTGATAAGATAAAAATAAATAAGTGAAAAATAAATTAAAAATAAAAAGGGAAAGATAAAATGAATGAAAACATATTAGAAATAGAGTAAAAATAAAAAAAATTTGGTTTTTTTAAAAAAAAAATATGAAAGAGAGAAATAAAAGAAAATAAAAATATTTCTAATTATATTTTTAATTAATTTTTTTTTAATCAATTAAATCAAAATATTTGATCAATTATATGAAAGCAGTGACAGATTAAAATTGATGTTTATTCACATAACATCTATTTTCTTCAATTAAATGCACCCATCTATTTTTCAGTTTTTCAACTTATTTCTTTTTTTTTCGATAATTTTTCAACTTATTTATAACTAGAGGTAAATTGGCCAAAGTTTGTGGAGCAACCTGTTACGTCCATGGTCCGTGTGAATATGGATCCGTTTTCTTAGATATGTCTAACTATATCAAATTTTTGACCCCTTTCGTAAAGTATGGACTTTGTGAGTTAAATTCGCAGACTAACTCGTTTAACAATATGTTTCAAATTTCTTTTTAAAATGTTAAGACTTAAATATACTTAAATTTTTAAGACATTAATATTTGGATGTTTGATTAATGTATTTAAAATTTTGAGACATTCTGAGGATGCTTGTATGTACGTTGAGTTCCACATGGACGTATATTCAAAAAGTAACTAATAATTACTTTTATATAAATTTTGACGTGATTTCGATTTGAACGTGGATCTTTGATATAGAAACAAACGCACACTAAAATTTTGATGTTTTTATTAAAATGTATAAATATTGATATGATAAAAACATTAATTTTTTATTAATGTTTGACTTGGTTACTAATGTATTTATATATTTTTTATGTATTTCTTTTCTTTTTAATGTTTCCATAGATTGAAAAAGAAAAAGAAATCCCCTTTAACTTGATTTTTTTTAATATTTTTATATTTTTATTTTATTCATGAACTAATCCATTTATTTATGGATTTGACAAACTAGATAAGACTAAAAGTTTTTGAACATTTATTTTACAAACAAAACTTACTTAACCTATAAAAGATCCAGATTTCACGAGCCATATTTTAAACCGGTTATATAACGATATGTATAGCGGCTTTATTTCTAACCATTTCACATTTAGCAAAGTATTCTAAGTATCATGCATTTGGTATGTGGCCGTAATTGGAGTGAGAGGTTTATAATTGTTCTATTATGTTGTTTTCATTCATTATATTCATACTCAATACCTTTTTTCTTTGTCCTTCAATTTTTCATAATTGTACAAGATTGTATGATTACAATCATATTCTGTTACATCGTTCATAGTTATATAAACAAGTGAATAACTTTACTAGAGGAGATTTTATTTCTCTGATCATATCAATTAACTCCTCCATAAACTTGTATTCTACAATACACTAAGACACTCAAAGACTTTGCGTCGTATAAGATATAACTATGATATCAAATGTTAGAACGCGTTCAAATTCAAGAAACTCACAACACCTCTCACTAATTCACGCGATTAGAGGAGAGAAAGAACAAGAGAATGGTAAGGAACTATAAATTTTAATAACTGAACTATATCACATATTTATTACATCACTATTTATTTTACTCATTACAACAGTTAGTTAACAACCTTTGCTAATATGGTACACTAACTAGCTGTCATTTATCCACTTATTTGCCAACTAATTGATGTACAATACAGTCAAACTGGTATAGACCAATGTGACTCAACTAGTTTTGGTAAAATTATTAAACTAATGATCACAGATAATCACAAAGAAATCATAAAAATTATTGTTGTTTCTAATTTGACCAAACTAGTCATATCTAAATAAAATACATAAAAATTATTTCTAAATAAGTTGGAACATCTTATTAAAGTAAACTAAACTATCAATGCCTAACCATCCAATGACATTGTTCATGTGCTAAGCTATCATTGAAGAGACATCTCACTCTCCACGTCCATTGTCCCTTAATCTTTTGGTTTAAAAAACTGATGAAAAAAATTAAAAATTGTTTTTTTTATAAATTTTCTCTTTAGTTAGAAAAGTGTCATATTATATATATATATAAAATAAAATTACGATCTCAATTAAATAAAGAGATATTTTAAGTACAATAACATTAAATAAGATGAAATTAATTAAAACTTGTATATATTTGAGACCAATATACATAATTTTTTTTATCTCTTTCTAATGCTTAGAGTTTGATGGAGTATTTTCAATATATTAAACTTTAAAAAAGATTATTACTATTTATCAATAATATAATATATTTTTTTAAAATAATCATAATATTGAAATAAAATACGTACCGTTAAAAATAATGGCTAATTTTTATCAAAATTATAAATACACATATATATATATATATTCTTTTTCCTCTTCTATTTCATGAGTACCAATAGAGGAAAAGAGATGAAGATTGATTTAGTACTCTAATGAACATGTTGGTTGATATGTCATTATGTCCTTATTTTCCTTTGATAGTGATCTATCAAGCTCTTCTTTGTTGCGTTACTCACTTAGCTGTTGAAGATCACGAGTCTAGACATTCTAAGGAATTATTTTACACATTCATGAACAAACTCCAAATAAGACTCAATTTAAATAAATAAATAACGCGATATGATCTGACACTCTAAATAAGTAAAGTCTTTTATTCTATTTTTACGAATTAATTTTTTAGAAAAAAAAAATCAATGGATATTGGTCACAAAAATAAATAAATAAATAAAAATAGTGATTTTAAAAAGAAAAAAAAAACTTGAAGTCAAGGATTCCCTTTATACAATAATTATCAGAACACCAAATATACAATGCAGTTAAAGAGGAATTTGTTACTTTGTTTTATATTAAAACTAATTATATATTTGAAATTATTTATTTATTATTAACTAAAGGAAGGATTCACTTACTCAAATTTTGATAAACTTACTTCACTTAATAACTTATATTTTACATCAAATTTTAACAATCTAATTATTAAATTAAAAATTCTTAATACATAGACCAAGTTTATAAATTTTAAATAAAATTAAAAATTATTTAATACTATGTTTTATTAATTCAAATTGTTGAATAATTATAAAAATATTTTATATATTAATTTAAATTGTTATAGATCAATTGATTTTCAAATTTTTTTAAAAATCTGTATATTTATGCATTAAAATTTTTTAATTTAACAATTAAATTATTAAAATTTGATGCAAAATAAGTTATTGAATATAATAAGTCTACTAAGACTTACTCTAGAAGTAAGTGCATCCTTCCTCTATTAGATAATATTAATTCTAAAAATATTATATTATTTTAATTATTATTCGGAATTAATTACTGAATATTGTATTGGACTTTGAAATAGCCGAATAGGTGACTTGTTCGGTTACAAGATTGGACTATTCGTGTAATACTGTCTAAAAGGTCCTTACTCTATTTTGAATTATACACTTTAATTAGTGTATGTTGAACTTGTTACAACGAAATAATCATCGTTTTTCCAATTTTGAGACTTTGATGCATCATACCCAATTTAGTCTTAATTATATATATATCTAGGTATGAGCTTGATGTATTGCGTTGCGTATTTACATGATAAAATTAGAGTAGACTTATTATTAATTTTTTAGCATATAAAATTAGACTGTATTGTATATATAACTACTTTCGTTTACACAGCTCGATATTTAAACAAAAAGAGTTTAGTCAAAGATCTTATATATATATGTATGTGCGTAAAGGACGGTAGTAGTAGACATCAAGAGAGAAAAATGAAAATGTTGAACTACAGAAACGCACTAACCGGTATCAGATATAATACTTGTATACCATTCAACAACTTTTCATTGAGATAAGAGTTGAAAATCGTAACTCAAGACAGGGAGCAAATCCGCTACAACGTTCCCTCCAAACGAATTGAGTGACAACTTTACAGCTTGAGCATAAAGATGAACATCATTATCGTACCATACTTGCTGCACTTGCTTAATCCTCTAAAATTTGCTGTCGCTCAAGCTCAAGAATCCGCTCAGCTAGAGGACTTACGGTGCCATTTATAGTTCCATTGCGTCCTCTACACTGCTGCAGTTGTTCCTGGAGATGCCGTACTAGCTCATTCAGTCTTCGAATATTTTTCTCTTGCACTAGAATTATCTGCAGCAAAAACATCCATTTCAAGAAAAACATCAGTAAATACCTTTATTAAAATAGCATAGCCGCAATGGCTAATTTTCTGTTAAATTTGGGAGTGAAGACTTAGGAGGATAGGCACATAATTCATATTTATATGCGTAGTAATCTTGATTCAGTGGATGATAACGGGAATGTGGGAAACGTTGAGGATAACAGAAATGGGCATAGTGGGAGAGAGGGGAGGAACCATAACTGAATGGGACAGCCACTTGACAGGTGGCGTTCAGGATATAAGAATAAGGGATAAGACCAGAGGGAAATATTTTTGGTGTATAGGTGAAAGGGTTTAGTTGGTGTATAGCCACTTGACTGCTGAGTTAAAGTTTTGAAACTTTTTTTTTCTTGTTTCTATTTGATTTTCACTGCTAAAAGGAGCTTGGCCCCAGTTTTGTCAATAAATAATACTCATTGCTTAATCTCTATTCGAGTGTGGTATCAGAGTTCCCAATCCTGATAGCTGAATGGTATCTGCTAGGATGAAATGTCAAGTTCAAGTTTTGGAGCAAAGGATGGCAGAAATGCAGGGAGAGTGGAAGGAAGCTCTTAGACAGTCAATTGAGGAGAAGATGAAAGAGCTGTGTGCAAATCTGGCTAGTTTCAAACAAGATCGATTGGATTAACCAGAGGATAGGGGCATAGAAAATAATGAACATGAAGAGGTTGGTCAGAGGGAGTATAATGCAGAGGCTTCAGGAATCTTGTTTTACCGGCGAAGATCCATATGGATGGAAATACCAGGCAGAGTGGTATTTTGAGATTAATCAAATTCTAGTGATGAGAAGGTGGTAGCAGTTGCCATTTTGTTTCGAGGGGACAGTGCTAAATTGGTTTCTAGAGGGAAGCAAGAACTGGGTGCATCCCCTGGCCCACTTTCAAGAGAGCACTGTTGCGTCAATTTCAGAACTCACGAGGTATTAATGAGTTTGAAGCAAATGAATCCACGAAGAAGTATGGGAGCAGTTCGAGCTTGTTGTCTGCTTCAACAAGCTGATGAAGAGTGACTCAAGGGGCATTCATGTTTGGGCTGTCTGATAACACAAAAGAGTGGAAGTCTGGCTCCATAGTTCAGCAAACCTGGGGACGTTGGTGAAGCTGGTTCAACGAGTGGAAGATTGGAGTTGGGTTTAGGCTGGGTTGGAGACTGGAAAACAAAACAGATTGGGCCCAATAATAATAGGCCCACTCTTTATGCTTGTTGGGCTGAACAGGGGGATACGAGGCTGTGGGGGGCAAACAGATGGGAAAAGGACTGCCAGCAACACATCGACCAGGCAAGCAGCATATTCCAATGGAGGAAATCATAGAAACTTAGAATTCAAGAAGTTAACAGTAGAGGATATGGAAAACAGATTTGTTGGAGAGAGAGTCTCCAGTGTGAAGAAGATTTTTCCAGGGCATGTGTCAGAAATCAGAATTAGCAGCTTCAATACTTATTTTGAGAGAAGAGAAGAAGCAAAATGAATATGTAGAAGAGGAGGATAGTAACACCATGCAATTGCATATGAGCAGTGTGGCTGGGGTTGATGTCATCTTGGGTTATGAGCAGTTGGAAGGGTTGGGGGAGCATCTAAGATTTGAAGGCTCAGCCATATAGTCTGAATCCCTTAGCTGAGAGCAAATGAAAAGCTCGGTTCTCAATGTTACAGTCCTTCTTGCAGTAAAACAGAGGGTTGGACCAATTGCATACAGGTTGAAGCTACCCACTGATTCAAAAATCCATTTGTTTCACAGTTGAAGAAGGCCATATCCAGGGATGTTCCCAGCCAATAGGTAGCTAATTTTTTGACTGAAGAATTGAAGCTGCAGGCTGTTCCAAATGATGTACTGGCCACGAGGAAATTACCGGATGTTACCAAAGATATTTGTATAAACTATAAACTGATGAAATCTTGCTGATCATCAGAAAATTTGGGAAAACTAGGAAGACATTTAAAGGATCATTCAGGACTTCCACCTTGAGGACAAGGTGGACCTGATTGGGGATAATTCATGTTAATAAGTGGAGAGGGAAATGGGCCCAATGGTAATCTTGGTTCAGTGGCCGATGAGAGGAGCATGGAAAATGATAAGGATAACATAAATGGGCAGAATGGGAGTGTAGTTGGTGGAGAGGGGGGCGGGGGCTTCATAACTGAATGGAACAGGTAGCATTCAGGATATGAGAATGAAGAGAGGCAGACGTAGGGGGATGGGAAAAATTTTGGTGTTACAGTGAGAAGGGTGGACTGCACTGCTAACTCCTGAGTGACAGTCTTAGAATTTTTTCTCTTCTAGTTGATTTTTTCTACTGTAAAGAGCTTAGTTCTTTCTCGGTAAATAATACTCATCATTTCTTGATCTATATTATAGAGCAATTATAACATGGAGGGAAATCATGAAAAGTATGTAAATATAATGCCTAGTTATGCACAATGTAGATACGCCAATACAAAACTATCTCATTTTTGGTGTTACACATTGGCAGAAATTATTTACAGCTCCCAAGTTTGCTTTATAATAATCTTTTCATATAACAATTGATCAGCATTGGAACATTCAACAGATGAGTTGCAATATTCCAATGAATGCGAAGCTCCATTAACTACTATTAAATATTCTACATTAGTTTTGAAATTAGACATTAGAATCTAAGCCCATACATGTATCACTGTACCCACAGGGAGACAACTTTTTAATTAGCATATAGCTCTATACATCCAAAATTCTCTAAAATGATCAAAGATCTGAATGTGAATTGTCTGAGACAATGAGATGCCATCATGCTAAAGCTGTGATCAAAAGATTGACTTCTCAACTTATTAGAATTATTTCCAATGATAATAACAAGACAGAATGGCAACCTTTGATGTTCGGAAATACCCACTAACCAGGGAAAGAGCATACA